CGGACCCCTCTCTTCACATCGATGATGATCTCCTTGTAGAATGGTGAGATCTTGGTCGTGAAGTTGCTTAGAGCTCACGAAGAATCCTGATGTACTGAGTAGGAATACCCTGGTTGCCCAGGGCTTCGATAACCGCTTCTGTCTCAACGGAGTCGAAGGCTTTCTTCAAGTCGATGAACGTGAGACATAACGGCATCTTGTACTCTCGCGATACTTCAATGAGCTTCGTTACCGTGTGGATGTGATCGATCGTGCTGAATCCTCTTCGAAACCCTGCTTGCTCGCATGGCTGTCCTTCGTCTAGTGTTCTGCCAATCCTGTTCAGGATGACTCGTGTGAAAAGTTTGTAGACTACAGACAGCAGGCAGATTGGGCGATAATTGCCAATGTCGTACAGGTCTCCCTTCTTGTACAGCAACACAGTCTTGCTGGTTTTCCACGAGGTGGGTACCTTGCATTCCGACAGGTAGCGCGTGAAGAGCCAGAGTTTTGACGAGAACTGGCGGAAGAGATGATGTGGTCGATCTCGTTATGGAATTGTCCACCAGGAGACTCCCATGTCCAGCGTAGAGTAGGGCTTCTGGAACTGCGAGTTACCATGGATGGTATGGGTCGACATGATAAACTCAGACAGCCTTTCACCCTGCTCATTCCACTCCATTCCGTGAGTTCCGATGTGAAGTTCTTCAGCCGTTCTTCTTGGTCCGATCTTAGCGTTGAAATCACCGACGATGACCTTGAAGAAGGTATGATCTTCCTTGTAGAACTTCTCCAATTCCATATAGAACGCTTCGAGCTCATCCTCGTCGTAGCTTGATGTTGGTGCGTAGGCGACGAAGATTGTCAAAGCTGGAGTTGAACCACATCTTCTCAATCGCAAACGTCCGATTCGGGTCGTCAGACGTAAGACGTAACGACGAAGTACGTTTTCGTACGTCAGACGTAAGACGTAACGACGAAGTACGTTTTCGTACGAATCGATGTTCATGGCCAAGTGCGTGTTGACGAGGACGCCCACACCGCCAACGCCTCTGCTGTCGCATGTTCCGAGGAACAGTTCTTCTCCAGTCTCGTATACGGCGTGTAGCGGGCGATGCCTCCTCGGTCAGTCCGATGACGTCGTACTTGATCTTCCTGGCTTGCAACATCAGATCTTCGATGTGAGCTTCCGATGCAAGCGTTGAAAGTACAGATCGTCATCCTAGTCCTGGGCGACTTAAATCTCCGTTGGCCCTGTGATTGCAGCCTCGCCCGAGCGACGTCGCCCTGTCGGTGGTTCCCTCAGGTTCAGGGGAATGAGGCCCATAATTATTACTGTTTTCGGCGAGAAGAAATTTGACCACGCGTAGCTCGCCAGGCTCTGACGTGGCACCCTCCGCATTGGTACGTTTTTGGAACAGTCCAAAACCGTTCACCCCCACGCCACGCTGCGGATAGGATTTGTGGGGGGGGGGGGGTCACCGCAGGCTCTTTAGATAGCAAAAACTCCGGAAACGTCGACGTCTATTCGAAAATGAGGTTCACCTGTTATTTTTATCGCAATTGCCGCAGTTGTATAAGAGTGGAAATGAGAGGCTGCGCAGAAGGTGGGCACTAGTCCTGTTCATTAATGGTGATTACTTTGTAGATTGGTGGTGTCCTTCAGTGAAGGGAAATTTAGCCCGAAAATGTGGTCAAAGTGTCGCAGGACATTCTTTAACCTGATACTTAATCGCAGAAGTGGCCTTGAAATGATAGAAGATGTAGAAGCAGCCAAAAAATTTGAGCCATTGAAGACTGTATTGTATTCATTCGAAAATAAGAGATCCATAAAGACACTTATTCATAAAAAATAGGTTCAATTGAGGCAATCTCGTGTCTCGCCGGGAAGTTTCGCATTCAAGTTGAGGATTCCAATGTCGAATGTCTTGTTCGGTTCACCTCCTTCGGTAACGTAATCGTCAGGGATTATGATCTGCACCTTACGCCAACACTCCTGAATTCGCAATGTAATTAGAAGTAGAAAAATAAAGAAAAGTACTGGATAAGGAAAACACTCCAAAGTACAGATGATCGGTAAGTTGGACGGAAGTGATATCCGAAATGAACATAGGGCGCCACCACCGACAAACACGTACCACTTTCTCGTCTTCGCAATTGTGATAAATGTTCAGTTTTGGATCGATTTTCGACCATTCGGTGTCATTTCCCTTCAACTTGAATTGGCCGTCTTTGTCAGAGAACGCTTCATCCATAAGAGTGTCCTTGACTGAAAGAGGTGATACTTTTTGTACTTCCAGCTTAACAATTTCCTCTGTTTATTCTTTATCTGGCTAGAGGAGCCAGCTAGTCCTGCGGTGAGTCCTGGAGTACTAAATCATATAATATGATTTTAAAAAATCACAGAAAAACTTGCGTGGATCGACTTCGTAAAGCTTCAGGACGAGCTTTCTCATATGGCTTCCCGTTGCACAGCAACTTTCCCTTTACGGCAGTACTTTGCAAGGTGCGAATCTGGGGAAGGATATCTGGTAGGCCAACGACACCCAGAGGTACGATGAGAGCCAGCAAAAGTAGCATTCTGAAAGTAAATTTCTCTGAGAAGTAGACGGTAGACAAATGCAATAACAGAACGACCAGCGATTTAGCAGTCATGGCAAATGACGGGAAAAGTGTTAGACCAAGAAATTATTACACCAAGGCGTGCTGAACTAGCGTCGCCAACACTGGTACGCGCATAAATTACGACAATAACCTTGGAGTGTGTAGAAACGAGACGTGTCTCCGCGCACCCGTGCAGGGGCACACCATTTCGTACACACTTCATTAATAAATAAGTGTTGGTTCAAGTTGAGTATGTAGGGAAGAAAAACGTGACTCACATCGAGTATCTGAAACTCAAATTTTTCATTCTATCACACATTAAATCTTTCACCATGAGTCGAAGAGGAGAGATTTGAAGGTGTCTCATCATGCAGTATTTACAAAACGTTTGCTGGTGTTCAAGACAGTCGCCACGCTCGGTCTTCCTGAGACCAGGGTATTTTTCATAGAACCTTTTTCATACTGTTTTGCCACACAGGTGATGAAGTGCTTTTCTCAACGTTTTGACTAATTCGGTGCTGTCAAGACCCGAAAATGGCTTGTGAAGTACTCCTTTTATAATCAACCAGTAGGAGCCTCTTTGGACTGAACTAGTTGTCACAGCTACTGAGAACCCCCGAACAGCGAAGCATCCCTGGAAAAAGACCTCCCGCGGCTCCACCAGCGTCGTATCCCACTCGATACAATGAACGACACGCGATAAAGTAAGACTCAGTAAGGAGCGCAACATAATAGGCACTGAAACGCCTCACAAGTCCTCACAATCTTTGGAGCTCTCGGGAGTTGGTGCAAACGTCGTAGGCACGAACAGGGCTTGATCAGATAGATTACCATTCATCAGACTTGCAGCCATCCTTGAAAGGTTCTGCGAAAATATTACAGTGTTTGAATCGTTCACCATCTAACAAAGATAAGCTCCATCATACAACAATTATTGCCAACCACAAGCAGAGAATGGTTGCCTTGCTTCCAGAAGCTTTTTTCTTCCAGAAAACAAGCCTGGTCATTTTTGAGGTGCTTTTGAAAATCGTATATTTTTTTTACCCAGAAGATGAGGGATTAGTTGAGATGGTAGCTAGAAAGAGCTAAGTCAGGGAATGGCAACGAAGACTCGTGGTGGAATTCCCAGGGCTAAGCCCTCACAAACATCGAGCGTCTGTCTTTTTCTTGAACACGTGTGACTTGGCTGTGGGGAGTTGGTTGCAAAACATATGCCCTCGCGCTCTCTGCTGTACCAAATTTGCGGGTATTACATCCCCCCTTTGCAGTGGTACAATAGGGCTCGCTGCGTTACGCCACAACCCGACGGCACGCTGAGAAGAAGAAGTTACCCCTCATGAAGGAGAAAGAAACCCCACCACATACACAGCCTCACCGCCCTACTGGATTGATAGGATTGCGCGATCGGTTCTGCCCTTTCTGGGGGATCTAGCCGCTGGCGCTCCCAGGAGTGATTCACCTAGAGGCACCCACTCCATATCCAGTTACAGTGCTGTTCAACCAGCCCGTACAGCGGAAGCGGGAGAGAAGTTGTAGACAGTACCCACATGTGCTCCCCTTGGAGTACTGGTCAACTCATGAGAAAAATTTTGACCGAACTTCAGAACTTTTCTAAGGGAGCGAGGCCCTCTCTCATTTGTGCTTTGGGACCAGTCAAGTGTAAGGACTAGATAGCAAGTTGATTTATACTTTAATCAAGGAACACAGTAGGTCCAAATCCAAGGCAGGTGGCCTCCTGGACGAAGTTTTTCTCCCAGGTAGAAGTCACTCAAGCGAAAGCGATCGGGCCATTTCAACGCCGTACTGTGGAAGGTACCATCAGGACCTAACTCAGAGAAAATAACCAAATGTGTCGAAAATGATGAATTTCAATTACCGTTTTGATATGAGAACAGCGACTGCGAGGGACGTAAAGAAGCTGTGGGATGCTTACTTAACACACTTCCCATAGACCACATAACTGGATCTCGAAATGGCTACGGAAAGATCTGATACGAGATTCAAAAAATGTCCACGAACTTTTGGGACAACCTAATAAATAGCACGTCTAGTGGTTGCTCCGCAGCTAAGACTTACCAAGTCTTCAATCCTGATTTCGGAAACTGCAATTCAAGGGGACGCTACAAGAACAGACTCAGTGCGTATAACTTCGT